AACACAAAGTAAGTTTCACTTTAAAAAACAATGATTTACAACGTGCGGAATATTCGCCCGGTACTTAGAGTTAAACGAGTATTATCAGTAACCTCTTCTACAATTCCCTCTCACACAGGGTTTACGACGCCACATGTGATCCACAAGAGAAAGCTAATTGCCTTGCCATGGAGCATGCACTGTTACGCCTTTATCCTCTCATTATGACCGCCTGAGTATTCTCGTATGGGTTCAGTTCCCGGCAGTGGCGGATTTTCGGCTGTAGTTACAAAGCTAAGTAGAATTAGGCGTTGGAGAATTCTAATAGTCGACCGTATATCAGTTACTTTTGTGGTTTCTCATGTCAAAAATGACGGTACAGTTTTCCAAGAAACAGGCCACGGATAACGCGCGATCTTTCCTTCCTCTTTCCTTATATCGTCCTGCCATCTCCCTTCACACAGTCACCACTCCCTAATGCTCTAAGCTCCCAACAGGTCTCCCGACATATGTCGTAGTGTGGTGTGTGTAAGTAAAGGTTGAGGATAGAACAAGGAAGAGGAATGATGGATCGCGCGCGGTCCTTCGCCCCTTTGTTACGGCAGTGCTCTGGCATTCACCTGGTTTTGATGAGAGCTGCCGGCCGCTAGGGTGGCTGAATTCGATAACTCGTGTAGTAAATCTATCATCGTCGGAACTCGAGCTATAGGACCTCCCGATCAGATTCGCTGCAGAAGCAGCAGTGATTCTAAGTTAAACTCAACCAAACTCCACCTTCAGGGATCCAACATTCACTACACTAACGGGACTAATGACCATAGCAATTGACGTGCTCGGAAAATCCATTAACCTTCTCACCTCACCACGGCCACACATTCCGCTGAAAGCAAAGAACGTTCCCCGACGACCACACCACACGCCACGCCATCGGACCGCTCGGCGACCGCAGCGCCAGCGCTTTACCTGCGGGAATTCGCGCGGGGAAGCGGCCAAATGGGGTTACAAGCGCCGGTCAGCGCGCGAACAGGCACTCGCACTTCGGGGCCGTCTCCTCCCCCTCCCCCTCCCCCCTCCGCGGCGCAACTTTTAATGCGCTTCGACGAGC